TTATGGTCACTAATGTCAAATAACGAGACACGTTAAATGTAACACCCTGAATCTCGGGTTAGTAGTTTCAGGTTAATCCGAGTGGGGTTAAATAAATCCATTAGTCTTATAGAGAATGTTGAACCAAGTTAGCTTTGGGTTGGGCTTGGTTTGACCCAACATGTGATAAAAAGGATATTTTTAAAATGATAATAGAAGTAGAGTGACCAAAGGAGTAATTATACCTTTTTATTTTCGAAAGGCTAAAAATCAATTAAGATTGGTGATATCACGTCTGAAGCATTCCTCTCTCTTTTCCTCCATAAACTTTTTCCTTTTCCCATCTACTTCAACTCATTCCTTATTCCTCTTGCATGAACAAGGTGTTAACTTTGCTAGTCTATCATCCCCATTCCAAGATTGTAAGGTAAGAATCATAACCTCCACCTCCTAAGCTTCAATTCAAGCCTTCAATCTTCTCATTTCACTATAGTTGCCACAAATGGGTTTAGCGAGCGTTTTAGACACCTAAGTGATTTCAGCTCGTTTTGGGAAGATTTAGACATCTATAAACGTTTTAAACACTTCCTAAACCTTCCAACAACGTTAATAATGTTTATGCTTGATTCTTGTCTAGTGAGAGGAGTTAGGGAAACCTCTCAAGTTAAGGGAAAGGAAAAATTTGTGCTAGGGTGATTTGGTGGCATTTCCAGTAGCTTAGAAACCAAAGGTAACTCACTTATAACTCAACTCTACCACATGTAGATCATTATGTGAGTTCTGTTAAGTTGCATGAGTTATGAAAAAATTTCATGGTAGATTTCATCTCGTGATGTTTCCATCATGTTTATGGACTCTTTATGACCACTATATTCAATCATGAGACCTTAATAACAGTTAGGACCCTTAGTAGGGTGTTTGAGGATAGAAAGTTAGCATTTTTCGTGCTCAAAACAGAGCATTTCTGGGCACGAGTATCAATATTAGAAGAATAATACCGATATTGTTCTTCAAATGATAAAATAAAAAAGGAAATTAGGATATAAGTACGGATACTTCTTCAATGGGTATCGATACCCACAGGATGGTGTCGATGCCAATATCACTTAAGGGATTCCAATGTACAATTTTGGTATCGATACTCATGGGAGTATCTATAACAATATGATACCCTCAATAGTGGTATCGATACTTGAGTATTTTTCAAAACAAAACATCAAAGCTAAAATTTGTATCGGTATTCAAGCCAAGTATCGATACACCAACTATAGTATCAACACCAACCCTTGTTCTCAACCATTAAACTAGTCAATAGTATCGATACCCATATACTAGAACTGATACTCAAAGGTCAATACCGATACCGAGCGGCTTAGTATCGGTACCCACATAAAATTTATGGGAAAGAATACCAAAAGTTTAAAGGATAGAATTAAGGGATCTCATAATGCCAGAATACCATGAAATAAAACTAGAAATGAGAATAATGATTAAACTCATAACAATTAGAAACAATAACATCTAGGATGACATAAAATTAGCATTTTTTTATACTCGGGACTCAGTCAGGACACCGAGTTACTTTATTAGAATACGGTAGTTAGTTGGATATTTCAGTCAATGACAAAGCACTTAATTTCCAACTAGGCGCAGATGCCCTAAGACTCGAATGAGTAAGTTGGTCGGGTGTACATTTTCGATGCAGTTCTGAATATCACCCTAGAATACCCCAGGTTATTTAGGCAGGCTAGAGGGGTGTGTGAGCTCCGAGATGCAGAACTCTTAGCCGCACCATGATGCCTACCACAACATAATAGATCAGAACTTCTTATGTCTTTATACATGTGTCACTAGCTATCACATTTAATGAATGTATGTAGTATAGTACAATACAGTTATTGGTGAGGCAATGAGGTAGTAAACCTAGTATTCGGAATGTGTTTCCATAAGCAGGTTCTTAGGAGGCCGTTCATGGGGAGTTATCATTGCCAGATATTCCAATGCAACAGTTCAGATCAGCCAGAGTATTCAGAGTACGTCTTGAGTCATTCTTAGATGGCATGTACTATTTATGGACCCTTATGTATTCAGTCATAAATATTTTGATTTAAACTCAATATTGTATTACTTGATATTTCAGGAGCTCCCCGTACTTGCAAATGATATTATTATGTTTTATTTTATTCACCATGGATGGATTTTATCATATGCTTTAATACCAGTATATTTTAAAGAAAATTTTTGGATTAGCCACTTAGGTGATCCAGTGTGACATCATGATCTAGTGATATTTGGGTGGGACTGGATTAGGGTGTTACATTAAAATTTATTTCTTTTTATTTTATTTTTTTGAAAAAAATTGAGCTTTCAAAACATGCCTTTTTTTCAAATGTCTCTCTGATTACTTACGCTCTTATCGTATGATACTATTTTGATATTACTGAATAAATATGTTTTTTCCTATTTTAGTTCATCCATTTTGATTTATCCGAGGCCAACTGAAAGTACTAAATTGTCACATGCTTTTGTTGTTGTTTATTTTTCATTTAATGGTTTTGTCATTTAAAAATATCATCGAATTAATCCTCTCTTTTTTTCTTTTGGTCTTTAAATTTAAGCTTGTTGAAAAATCTTTCAATCTCTTCAAATCTCAGTCGAAACTAAAAGCTAAAAATCTTTTATCGGTCGCCTTCAACAATTTAATTAACTTAAATCTAAATTATGCTAATTTTTTTTATTAAAAGAACATTTCTCCTGTTAGGATTGAACGTTAATTGACCCATTCATTGGAAATTTGCCAATGTCAATATAAATAGTTTTTTTTTTGTTTTCCTTATGTGCTTCTTTTGATGTTGTTTATTGTATATTGTTATTGATGGTTATGATTATAGACGAATGATGATGACTAAATGAGATTACTAATGATTGTGATTATGAAGATGACTAAATGAGATTATTGATGACTAAATGAGACTACTAATGGTTATGACTATGGATGATGACTGAATAAGATTAGTGATAGTGATTCGAGTTTTGGTTGGTTTGATCATGAAAATAAGAAAATTTTGATTTTGTTTAAAATTCAGATGAAACGATGGTGATGAATGGTTTGACAGATGTTGGAAGATGATGAAAGCCCTACATATAATGGGTGTTTTATTTGGTTGATGATAATAATCGAAAGAATGTCAAACAATGACAACTTAGATAATCCAAATGAAGATTATCACTTTAGAATAAGTAAGTTTTGGAACCTTAGAGTTTTCTAAAAAAAATTTAAAAATAGATTTTAATATGTCATGTCAACTACGACAGTGATCATAATAATGAAAATTAAAAATTCAATGATTATATTATAAATTTTAAAAACTAGTAAGCAAAATGAAAATGTCTTACTAGTGTTGGGATCATTAAAATACATTAAAAATTAAATAGATATAACTCTATAATAATATCATATTATTAAAAAAATTATAATATTGTAATAATTCCATCCTTATAATTAAATGAATTAATATTCCTTATTAATCATTAATAATTGATAACATAAAAATATTTTTGGATAAATTACACGAATAATCCTTAAACTTTTAAAATATTTATATTTTAATCATTAACATTTTAAAATTTATAATATAACTACTAGGGTTCTAATTTATTTTTATTTATGATCATTGATGTCGGATAATGAGGTACATTAAAATTTATTTCTCTTTATGTTTTTTTAAATTGAGCTTTCAAAACACGTTTTCTTTCAAATTAGTACATGTCTCTCCGAGTACTTGTGCTCTTACCGTTTGATACTATTTCGATCTTACTGAATAAATATGTTTCTTTTATTCTTTTAGTTCATACATTTAGAAGTATCCAGTGTCAACGGAAAGTACTAAATTGTCACCTCCTCTTGTTGTTATTTATTTATCGTTTAGTGGTTTTTTTTGTTTGAAAATATCATCGAACTAATCTTTTTTCTTCTTTTTTTCCTTAAATTCAAGCTTGCTGAAAAAATCTTTCAATTTCCTCAAATCTCAATCAAAACTAAAAGCTAAAAATATTTTATCATTCACTTTCAACTATTCGATTAACTTAAAACTAAATTATGTTAATTTTTTTGATAAAATAGAACATTTCTACAATTGCTCCATTCATTGGAAACTTGTCAATGTCAATATAAATAGTTTCACTTGTTTTTTTACTTATGTGCTTCTTTTGTTTTTGTTTATTGTAGATTGTCATTTATGGTTGTGATTATAGACGAATGACAACGAATAAACAAGATTACTAATGGTTGTGATTATGAATGATGAGTAAATGAATTGGTGATAATAATTCGAGTTTTGGTTGGTTTGGTTATGAAGATAAGAAAATGTTGGTTGTGCTTAAGATTTAAATGAAATAATGGTGATGAATGGTTCGATAGTTGTGAGAAGATGATGAAACTCTTACATATAATGGGTATTTATTTAGTTGATGACGATAATCGAAAGAATGTCAATTAATGACAACTTGATTAATCTAAATGAAGACTAGCACTTGAAAGAAGTAAGTTTTGGAAGATAAAAGTTTTTTAGAAAAAAATTAAAATAGATTTTAACGTGTCATGTAAACTTGATTATAATAATAAAACTTAAAAACTCAATGATTATATTGTAAATTTTAAAAGCTAGTAAGGAAAATGAAAATATCTTAATAGTTATGGGATCATTATTGTAGTTAACTCATTTAAAAATGAATGTGACAACTAAGAAGAATCATTACCATATCAATGGTCGGTAATCGGTGAACTACACCGACCTTCGAACCCGACTTCAAATGTGCCAAATCTAGTAACACTAACCTACCACGTAATTATTAAAACGGTGTAACCACGTGCGCACTACATTGAATTTTCATTGGCCCGTGATAGTCACGAGAAACATACACATCTAAAACAGACTATACATCTGTACTTTCCAGAGGTTAGGGTGAAGGGAAGTCAGAAAGAAAATGATGACGTTGCAGTTTCTGGCCTTACATGTTTCCTTTTCTAATAGAACGGGCTTAATTACCGTTTTTCTTCTTCAAAGCATCTGGTGCTAATCCAACGGTATGATTTTTTCCCCAAAAAATATGGAAACTTTATTATGTTTTAGTTCATATCCACATAGAAAAGAGAAAGCTGATTGAGAGGAACGAAACCAAAGAGTAAAGGTGTTTTTGTTTATAGGTTCACGAAGCTAAGTCCTTCGAACTGAACAGAGAAGCAGATGAAGCCGACGTCTGCCGGAAGTAGCAGCTCTAGCGGTGGTGGTGAAGGGAGTAGAGGTGGACTCGCCCGCTTCCGCTCAGCGCCAGCCACCTGGTTGGAAGCTCTTCTCGAGGAAGACGAAGAAGACCCATTAAAACCTAACCAGTGCTTGACTCAGCTACTCACGGGGAATTCATCGGCCATACCTACAATTCGAAAACCATTGTCTTTTCATAACTCGGATGATCCAGCTGGGTTATTTGAATCGTCTGGTTTTCAAAGACAGAACAGTTCTCCAGCTGATTTCCTCGGGAATAATGCTTCCGATGCTTACTTGTCTAGCTTTACAGTTGCTGCAAATTACGACTATTTATCGCCAACTATGGATGTTTCTCCCTCGAGTAAAAGGGAAAATGAGCTCGATACGCAATTCCCACCAACAAAGTTTCACTCCCACTTGGCAAGACTAAGAGATAAGGTTTTTGATAACTTTTACTTTTTGTTGGTCTGTTTTCAAAGCTGACCAATTAGTAGCCATGTCCGTCTAGCCAAAAGGGGGAGTATAAATTTGCTATTTTGAGCAAAATTCTATATGGTTGAATTCCAATTTTTAGAGTTTGTTGTTGTTGTTATTGCATTTACAATACCTTTACTTTTTCCTTCTATTTTTGGTTAGAAAAGAGAGCCAAGTGATCAAATTTCGGGTGGGATATCTAATCTTTTAGATGTAGATATGGAGAAACTTTTGGAGGTTTCGGTGGCTTGCAGGGTTCGCGCCAAGCGCGGTTTCGCTACTCATCCCAGAAGTATTGCAGAGAGGGTAAGTGTATCCATTTATTGATGGGATGTAAAATGGTGTTTATGTTGAGCTCTAATCATTTATTGCTCTTTTCGTTAGGTTCGGAGAGCAAGGATTAGTGACCGCATCAGAAAGCTTCAGGAGCTTCTACCCAACATGAGTAAGGTAGGCTGCTTCTTGATATCAATTTTAATCTTGATTCTAACCTATAGTAGTGTATCATCCTAATGAAGTTTGATGCCAAATGCATTGTTTTGTCTCACTGGCTGGAAGAGATAAATAAGATCAAAGAACAACTATACAACAATTTATATTAGGTAATTTAGGCAGAATGGCATTTATTTTTTATATCTCTTGCTCCGTATCTTGTACATACATCCCAGGTTTATATGTTTAATTCGCTAAAGTTTTTTTTATTAGGGAGCTAGTTCAATATGGTGGATGATGTTGAAAAAATACGCTTGAAAAAAGTAAGTGAGAGAAGCTCCAACTTCTCTCTAACCTAGGAGATTTCAAATTTCAAAATTCCAGGGGTAGAGGGAGAGAGAGAATATGGGTGACTCCGCCACACATCGACCTCCTTTTGATGCCTTTTTTCTTAAGGATCATCGTCTATCCATAGAGTTTACTTTTTCCTGGTTTATTTTGATTGATTCCCCTTCAATCGGGGCAAATCTAAATGTCTTTCTTCGCCGATTTTTCCATCAGCAGTCTTCAAAGTTCGTTCCAGCTGTGCACGCCGGAAGCTCGTGACAAAAACCCAAGTGTTAAACTGTGAACACCCACTGCCGTTCACCGGACTTTTACTGTGCAAAAATTCCGTCATTGTTCAAGAGCTCTATTTTCATAACGCTGTTGCTGGTTCTGGGTTTTCACGCACGTTGTCATAATCCTTTTTATCTCTGGTTTTTTTGGTTCAAAATTAAACAGTTCGGAAGCCTCTGCATTCAAAATGACGTTCAAGAATCGCGATGAAGAACAGAGAAACGGGCTGAAACCTCAGCTCGCCAGACTAAGAATAGTCTTCAGTCCGAGATAGAGGAAAAGGAGAACGTAAATCCTTTGAAAAAACCAAATATTAAGACGAAACGGGTGGATTCTATACTGTCGAAGGTAACTGAAGCGGAGCATCAAAATTAGAGAGATGGGTAGCAGACAAAGACTGTGCATAAATCAGAGGAGGCGAGGAAGAAGCTGAGTAGTACAGTGGCAGCAGAAGAATATGAGAGGATGGTGTTGATGACAAACAAGAATAGGGATGATTTGTTGGTTGAAGCAAGGAGTGTGGAAGGGGTCATTGCGCAGATTTCTGAGGCGGAAATCCTTCCTCAGGATTCTCTCGTTTTTAACTACTGGAGGAAGAAAGATTATCCAAGAATCAACAATGGGTTTAGAACTGGCTGCTTTACGTTATACATTGATAATTTACCAGATAATATCCATTGGAAGTGGTTTGGATCGTTATTTTGCCCATATGGTCAGGTTATTGACGCCTTCATTCCAACTAAAAGAAATTCAAAGGGGGTACGTTTCGGTTTCATTCGCTTTACTACAATTGGAGAAGCCCGGAGAGCGATCTCAAAGATGAATGGCGCTCGCATTGATGGTAGTAAAATTGGAGTCTTTTTTTCTAAATACAACACAAGACATTCTTTTTGGAGAAAGTCTTCGCCAGTTGTCCACCTAAAGCCCGAGAGAGAAAATGTTACAAGAAATAATCTCTATACAATAAATGGTGTTGTTGGCGAAGCTAAACTTCAAGTTTTGGATAACTGCCTAATAGGGTGGTGCAAGAACTATACCAAAATCGGTTATCTTGCTAGCCAAATGCAAGACAAAGGACTCAACGGTTTTTCGTTAATGAGAGCTGTTGGGAATGTAGTTCTCATGATATTCGAGGATTCTGATACGTTGAGAAGGGTTAAGAATGAACAATCAGAGACTCTTGCAGGGTTGTTTTCTAGAGTTGAAGTTTGGTTGGAGAGTCTAGTGGTAGAATGCCGTCAAGTATGGGTAGTTTGCGAAGGGATTCCTTTTCACTCGTGGAATTGGGGTACTTTCAAGAACATTGCGGCTAGGTGGGGCAAATTAGTATCAACTGATGAAAGCTCTCAGTTTCCTTCATCTTTTGATCGTGCAAAACTTCAAATCCTCATAGAGACTAAAGTGAGGATTGATGAGTCCTTGAGTTTGAAGGTCGGTTCTAATTCTTTTGAAATCATGATGCATGAAGTTGAGCCTTCTTTCAAACCAAACTCTTGGATCCCTGAGGAAGTCGATGATTCTCCAGATCTGAATTGTTTTCTCGGGGCAACATTGGAGAATTCTCTGTCAGGATCGTCAGTGTCATCCCCAGGTTTAAATTGCCCCGTCGAAGATGTTGCAATTGAAGATCCCCGCTTAGAAAAGGTTTCACTCATAAAGAGTGTCAAAAGCGATGAGAAACCGAGTAACAAATTGGGGTTGTACACAATGGAGGCTGTGGATCATTCAAAATTAAATATCGTGGAGCATCTAGGTAATAAATCAGTTGATCATTCTGCTGGTGTTAGCCTCAGGGCCTCGGAAGATGCTCTTATGATGGGTCTCATTACTTCTCATGGTTCATCTACTGACACATTTCAATTAAAGGAAGATACCCCAGTGATGCCCCCTATCCCTGCGAAATTAAGAACTATTCGTGTGGCGAAGAAATGCAAGACAAAGAAAAGAGTTCTGAATTAAGTGGCAAGGAAACATTGATTGAAGGGAAGGAAGTGTGGTTTTGGTTCATTAAAGATAATTTATTGAGCTGATTTATTTGGTGATTTTGATACATGTTGGTATTTTTGTGGAGTTCCCTTCAAAGGCGGATGTTTTTGGTTTAATGGTTTTAGGTGTTGTTTTTATATATGTTATGTCATTAAATGTTGGGTTGTTTTCCTATTGATGGAGGTTTATCTTATGTATAGGGTGATTGCCTCTTGATTTTTGTGGTCGAGAAGGTGAGAGCTTTAGGTGATTATGTTTTTTATAATGGTGTTTATCCTCGTTTGAGGGTATTTCGTGTTTTCATATGTAATGAGGCGTTTTATTCAATGAAATATGAGGTACTATTTTCTTCCTTCCTATGTTCGTTAACATACTTCTTAGTATGTGGACGAATACGAAGGGAGTTTTTAATGAGACCTCCAACTTCTATAAAAAAAAAAAATAAGGTGGATGATGTTGTGTCGGAACTCGTTCAAAAACAGAAGAATAGCACTATATTAATTTGCAGTCTTAGATTTAGAGTGTGAGACCAATCTTGTACAGATTTGTGTTACTATAAATTCGTAAATGAAGTAATTAAATGTAAGGTTATCATTATCTAATCTGTAGTGTCAAATCTTCATAAGAAAACAAAAGGAATTTCCCAACATTTCTGGGCTTAAAGGGTTTTGAATACACATAACAAGTTATATGGATTCATTAATCTGTTGCGGTTCGATCTTTATTGTTTAGCGTATCATTTATCTGGAAAGTTTTTTGTAATTACCATTCCTGTTTAACATATAAGGCATCAGCAATATGAAATGTGCAATGAAACTTTATATCTATACACTCTAATTTGAGTAAAAATGTAATGCTTAATATATTATTGGCTGTCCTGTAAATTTGCGTGCAGGTGTACATGATATCATGCAAAATCTTCTAATGTTAAACCACGAGGTATTCACGTATTAGTTTAACTTTTTTTATGAAGGCCGATGGAATTTCAGTAATTTTTCAGAACTAATGATATTTAGTTATTTGCATTCTATGAATCTTTGGTGAGATGAATATATATGAGTTGTGACAAGGATGAAGATGATACGTGTTAGAACTTAAATATAAAATATTTAGGCCTTTTCCTATTAGCTTAAGCTTTTAGGATATTTGGTTACCAACATTAACATCTTATCAGTGGCGTTCCAAGTTTTTTCTGTTATAATAACTGGTATCTAATCCGGATCGGATATTGTAGACGTCCATTATGAAGATGACCCTTTTAACACAATTTAATCCCTTCACAACGTTAGGATTTGGACTTCTGACATTGTTTAAGAGGTCTAACGTCTCATGCCACCAAACCAATTGATAGTTGGTATCAAAGCTTAAGTTTGACTCTTAAAAATCGTTTTTTCCTTTGATATTTCTTCACCTAGTGTTTTATTGGCCATCTAGGTATTCATTACTGTTCACCTTTCTTCTACAGTTGGGTCTATGTGCAAGCTTATTAATCACTCATCTGTTTGCACGTGGTGTTTCGTTTTAAAGCTTCAAAATAATAGTTGGGCCTTTTTAATATAAGGTTAAGCTTTCAGGACAATTGGTCGTCCAGCTTAGCATTATGGACAAGGTTGTATGGTGTCACAAGATGAGGCTGCTAAAGACAAATTGCAACCATGTAGATTGAGATTTTACGAGTTTTGGTTTTGGATTTGTTAAAACTTTGGCATTAAATAAAGTTATAAACTATCCCACCTTAGGCATGAGAAAAGGGACTTGACATTAAGCTTTACTTTCTCAACCAATACATGCTTAAGCAAACTGCCGTCTATCTTGAATCATCCGAAATGTAAAAAAAAAATCCGAATTTTCTAAAATTTAAATGTTACACGAATGCATCTTTCTAAGAATATTGGGAATTGTATCTTACACTGTTTAACTTGGCAATTTTCTTTCTTGCTCCATCAGCAAACCAACACTGCAGACATGCTGGAAGAGGCAGTAGAGTACGTTAAATATCTTCGAAGGCAAATCCAGGTACTCAGTTATTATATTTGTCTGGAAAGAATAATTATCCATTTGTCTGACTAGTTGGTAATATGTATGTATGAAAGTGAGAAAGGAGGCAACACCACGGTATACGACCGGTGCTTCTGTAAAAGAAGAAAGATTGCCTACTGAGAAACCTGGATCCTTTGCAGGCTCACAGAACTTCAAACGAAATGCACGTGCAAAACTAAAGATTGATTGGCTACCTAGAGCTTAGCATAATTGTCAGCTGCATAACTGTTTTGCTCAAGTATACTACGGCTGTTTTCTGATAAAGTTGGCTGGGTAGATCCAACATTGTAATTACAGGATTTACCACTTCTGATGTTGCCTTCTTCAGCATGCAATACAGAGATGTGGCTTCTTCTGAAGATACAGTAACTATGGAGTTCATATCAGGACCTCTGCTATGCTTTGCCTAGCCTAATACTGCGCCACGAACATCACTTGGTATGATTGTAGTTGTACAGTATTAGCGTAGACTATAAAATATATTTTTATTAACTACATAGCTATATATAAATCTATAATTTTTAATTAAAATATTTGTTTACCATAATTCTTATTGTATATCTAGACGAGTTGTATTCAATGAAAAATTTTATTTACATTTTAAGAATCTGTTTTATGGGTTAGGATCAATGTTCTAGGTTTCAAATATCTGTTTTATAGGTCAAAAGTTACCCGATTTGACTTTGTATGCGTTCCCGAGTGCCAAAACATAATACCATGCTTTTGATCTATGAGATTTGTCGGATTTGGGGGTGTTGAGTTCAGTTCTGTCCTGCTTTATCCCAACTCCAAACTTCTTAGATGACACTGTTGACGCGGATGCCTGCCTTGATTTCATTGGCCGCCTTGTTCGCCCCTCAAACTCTGGTGGATGGACATCAGCAGCTTCTTTCATCGTCGCCGTAAAGTTGCTGAGAGGTTAGCTTACTATGAAATTTCCTCAAACCTCATGACTTACTTGACGGGGCCTCTGGTGCAGTCCACAACTACCGCTGCTGAACAAGTTAACGCCTGGTCATGGATGTCGGTGCTTCTCCGACTCTAGGGTGCTTCTTCAGCTCTTGCTACAGAGGAAAAATCTCAAGGATATCGTTCAACTGAAAGTTCCAAGCATTTCAAGTAACTTTTTTTTCCTGAATAAAGAATTCTTTAGTTAAGATTAATATATAAAGCCTTAAAGCACAACATCCTTCAAGCTGTGGAAAATGATACGATTAGTTATGTGTTAAGGGTGTCATCTGTGATCCTAATTATATAATCTGTAACGAAAGTCTCTAATATAGCAATATGGATTTTCTAATGTGGTGTTAGATTCTTTAGCAAAACCTTGCTTGCTCCAGAAAGTACAACGGGGCAGGGAAAGGTGTGTAGCATCAGAGAAGTTGAAGCAAAGGCCGTTTTAAGGCCTGTAAGCTTGATTTATGCAGTTCTTTCGGCACAGCCATCGACATTGTTTACCAAGCAAGGTGCTACAATGGGCATGCTAATCATAACAGTATTCGAAATACCTGCTGCTACACTTGGGTCATTCATTAGCCTTTCAGTTCTCTTCATTCCTATATAACACCGATGCCTTGTCAGTTTTCACCTTCAACATTGTTTCATGGTCCTTAAAAACCAGTATAAACGCCGTATTCAACTTCTTTTGCTCCGGCATTTCCCTCCGGCCTCATCGGTGTATTTCTTGTGATATCCCTTCTCCGCAAGGCCGTATAGATCCGTTGCTGTAGATTCTCAATCCATCTAACCTGGATATATAATGCTCTTTTAGCGTCCGACATTTTAGAACATCGGACAAAAATAAACCTATATCTTCCATAGATTTTCTTCTTGGGAATGAACAAATCAACAACTTTGCCATAAAAAGTAAAAATCGACCATAATCCTTTCCAATGCATCTTCTCAGGGATATTAAGAACAATCAAAGTCACACAGCCAGACTTTAATTTCAACCGCCTTGCCATCTACATTTTCACTATTCGCCAAATACTGTGGTTTCAGTACCAAGACCAATAGACAATAGTTAATCGGCCGTAATGGTTTGATGCTTTTGTGTCATCCTTGAAAAGTTCCTCAATCTCAAGATTGTCACACTCAACTTGTATTTTCTTGATGCCTTTGCTCTATTTGTTGTTTCTTGTTCTTCTATGATTGACAAAACAGTACGAGGATCCAACTCGGTTTTCTTCGTAATTGAATGCTAAGCAGCTTGAATGACATCATCACAAAAATAATCAACGATCATTCGAGTTTATATCCTGCAATATTCCTCGCTCTTTCATTTCATATTAAAAGTCAGCATCAACTCTTAAAGTAGTACTCCTTTCGAGTTACCTATTCAATATTCATGCATGCAGTCTACCTCAGCATCTGTTGTTGAAATTTCTAGAATTGGATCCCATTACAAGTTTGATTTTTATCACATTACATTTTATTATTTAAAGAATATGGATCCTTTCAAATTAAGGAAGTTATTAATTATTATCACATTGCATTTTATTATTTATTTTATGTATTCACTTTAAATATGTATTTATCCAAACATAACCCTTTATCCGACACTCTCAACCCAATCCGAGTAACATGGCCCAGAAGAAAATTATAGTTCAGCTCCCCTGGCCCTGGTATAAGTATAAGATCTTGTAGAATATATGTATAGAACCAATCCTAGGGTAGTAAATGCAGCAAGCAGCCAATAGAAGTAAGTAATCAAGATGTGCCTTATACATGTTATCTGCAAACCAGCTATCTCCCCCATCCCCACCACTTACTTTCTCAATAACAGATACCAGAAAGCTACTTATCAAGTTCCCAACACCAATGACGCTCAGGAAGATTGCAACACCTATGCTTTTTATTTCTTTCGGCATCTGATGATAAAAAAAATTCTTGAAGTCCAACAAAGGCAAACACATCAGATAATCCAAACAGCGAGTAATGCGGTACCAGCCACCACACGCTCATCGGAACCGTCACCTCTGGCTTGTCTACCAACCCATGTTCCCTAGCCGTTTTGAGCCTCTTCATCTCTACTAAAGCAGCAATCACCATTGCTATTGCAGATAGAGCAATCCCAGTTCCAATTGTTTGAAGCATTGTGATTCCAGCTGGTTTTCCGGTGATGGATCTTGCTAAAGGAACAAATATTCTATCGTATATAGGAATTAAGAGGAGGACTGAAATGCTTATGAAATATTGAAGAGTGGCAGCAGGGATCTCCAATCCTGTTGTGATTGATCTGTCCATTGTAGCACCTTGCCTGGTAAACAATGTAGACGACTGTGCAAGAACAACTGCATGGATCAAGCTTGTAGCCCATATAGGCACAAGCTTTAGAACAGCCTTTGCTGCTTCAACCTCTCTGATACTACACGCTTCTCCCTGCTCCATTCTGCCGTCTTTTCGATTCCAAACAGCTAAAACAAAAAACGACTGATCCCCACAAACGGGCTTACTTCATCCCCTTTGACACTAAACCTGTAAGTCGTCCCGAGCAGAAAAACAAGCAGTCCAAAGGCCATCACAATACCAGGTATTGCAAATCCAAGAACCCAACTGAGGTTTTCTTGAATGTAATTTAAAACCAGAAGGGTCATTAAGATACCAGCAGACATACCAAAAAGCAACCAGTTAAAGAATGAACTCTTGGCTTTGCACTCCTCAGGGTCTTGTGCATCGAATTGGTCTGCGCCAAAAGCTTGAAGGCAGGGCTTGTAGCCACCTTGTGCAATTGCAATCAGATACAGAGAGAAGACTAGTATCACTCGAAACTGATGCACTGATGATGTGTTTAATGTGACAGATGGAAGAGTGGCTAAGAGAGTCAACAAGCCGAGCCCCTGTAAGTAAATAAAATCATTCCAACTCAAGTGCATCAGTGGTAAACGAGAAATTACGATGAAACGTTCACTTGTAAAAGAGAAGAATGATTTACCAAAATGTAAAAGAGGGAAGTGAAGACGATGGTACGGTATCGGCCAAGAAAAGTGTCTGCAAAGAAAGCACCCAAGAGCGGTAGAAGCGACTACGCTCCCGCCCAGGCGTTAACTTGTGCGGCGGCGGCAGTGGACAGACCCAGTGGCCCCGTCAAGTAAGTTGTGAGGTTCGAAGCGATTCCATAATAAGCAAACCTCTCAGCAACTTCAACGACAATGATGAAAGAAGCTGATCTCCAACCGCCGGAGTTTGAGCGGCGGACAGGGCAGCCTTTGAAACTAATAAAGGGTTAACTTTGTCATCTAAAAGTGGAGTTTTGGCAGCGATCAGATTGGAGTTGGACATTGCCATAAGCTCTGGTAGGAGTTTGGCGTTGAGACTTTAATGAAGAATTTCTCACAAGATTACAAGTATATTTAATTTCACCAAACGTGCATGACATTGACATTTGTAACTGTTATCTTAATTTGTACTAATTATAAATTTACTTATTACTTCCCAATTTAAATAAAATATAAATCCATGTATTAAATTGGTATTAAGAGAACCATAAATGGATGACATTTACACCTGGATTTGTTATCTTTATTTACGGATTACGTCACTGGTGCTTAAACGAGTTTGTTCATGAACATATAGGATCGAGTTGATAAACGAGCTCATAAACGAGCTTGAAAACAAGCTCATAAACGAGCTTATAAATGAGCTCATAAACGAGCTTATAAATGAGTTCATAAACGAGTTTGTTCGTGAACATAAACGAATCGAACGCACCTCTGTTCTTATTCATTCGTTTATTAAATGAACATAATATTTTTTTGTTCATGTTCATTTATTTAACTTAACAAACGAACATAAACAAATTTTATACGAACGGTTCACAAATAATTCACCGAACGCTCTATACATTTACACCCCTAATTATAACATTTACTTTAGTCTTCAATTATATTATTGAGTAGTTAACTCCAATACATATTAAAACAAAACGAGAGTAAAACACACGTGGGTTTAAATTAATAGTTAGGTGATGGTCCTTCCGTCCTAACTCCTAAGCTCTTTGGTTGGAACCCCTATGAGCATTTCATATTTTCTTCAATAAGATAAAATGGCGACATGTGGGCACACCACATCATCTTTCAACAGAATTTTTGTTGTTGTCATCTCTATATCATCGTTGTTTTACAGTTAACGATTTAATAAAAAGATAATTGTTTAATTTATCTAATTTTAAAATTAAACAATTAAAAAATTATACTCAAAATATGGAAAATTAAGATTTAATTCACCTAATTTTATTTTATTTTTTAAAAAACTTAATTTATATACATTCAAAATCCCCTCCCATAACTCTGTCCCTTTATCATGCTAAAACTCTAATTGTTTTTTCTATGTTTTAAATTTGGAATAAAAAACATTGAATGGTTTTTTCTATGTTTGAAATTTGGAATGAAAAACAATTAATGCATTTTTTTTCTATGTTTTGAATTTGGAATAAAAGGGGAAAATGATTTACCAAGATGTAAACGAGGAAAGCAAGGATTATGGTGCGGTATCGGCCAAGAAAAGAGTCGGCAACGAAAGCACCCAAGAGTGGCAGAAGCAACGACGCTTCCGTCCAGGCATTAACTTGTGCGGCGGAGGCGGCAGTGGACTGACCCAGTGGCCCCGTCAAGTAACTTATGAGGTTCGAAGCGATTCCAAAATAAGCAAAACTCTCAGCAACTTCGACGGCAATGTTGAAAGAAGCCGACCTCCAACAGCCGGAGATTGAGCGGCGGACAGGGCGGCCTTTGAAATCAACGCAGCCATTAACTGCATCATTTAAAAGTGGAGTTTCAGCTGAAGCCAGATTGGAGTTGGACATTGCCATAAGCTCTGGTAGAAGTTTTTGGAGTTGGAAATAGGTAGGGTGTTTACTGTTCGGTTAAAACTGAATTGACCGACCGAACTGAAATTTCGGTCGGTTAATCGATCGATTAACAGTTAATAGTTTTTTTAAAATTTTAATTTCGATTAATTCGGTTCGAAATCGGTTAATTAATCGAATTAACAGAAATTATTAAATATTTAATATATATGTATTATTTAGCTTTAGGTGTTTTGAACTAGTTTTTACCGAATTAACCGGATAAACCAAAAATATTTAATATATAATATATATTATT